CTGACCTTGAGTGATCCTCCTGCCTCGGCTTCCCAGAGTGCTAGGATTGCAGGCATGAACCACTGCACCCGGCCCAAGAATTTAAATTTTAGTGAGCCCATTTCTCCAATGCCTGCATCTCTTGGTTTTCTTCTCCTGAAGTAGTATGTAGATATTAATTATCACAGTCATGGAACGATTTTACATGAACATTTTTTTTCTCCAGGGACTTTTAACTGGAAAGCCTTGAGGAGCATTTTATATACTTTTGTCCCCTAGATGTCCTTCCTAAAGATCTAGAGGCTGTCAGGTCAAATCCTAATTCAGTGCCCCCTCTCCCAGTTTTGTCAAATTCCTGTAAGGGTTAGGTTCTCATGGTCCCAGTTTCTGTTTCCATGGCAATTGTGTAGATTATAGATTTTTATCTGTCCCAAGCAATCTCTCCCTGTCTGTATAACTTTGATCCAAGCATAAAATTTGCTGTGATTTCTACAAAATTCATACATAAAAGGGATAGTGTGTTGGGGTGTGTGTGTGTACTAAAAGTCTGAGAAAGATTGAATAATATTTGCATCTCAAAATAGAAATAATGAGCATACACTCCAGCCACCTATTGTGTTGCTTGACCTACTTTTCTTCTTCCATTTGAGCCCCTTTGCTCTTCTAATTCGTCTCCTCCTATTTCTGAGCCCATTCGTCTCAACACGAGTAAGACTGAACCTTCTCTTCGTACCTTGGCTTCACCTGACCCGTGCTCTCAGTGCCTCCTCGTCCTCTGTGTCCCTCTCCTCCTCCTTTCCACACTCACTCAGACGTTTTCCTTACCATAAATGATTTCACTGTAAGAAGAATTCTCGTATCAGCTTTTAGGGTATTAACTTTTCTCACATTAATGTGTTTTGAATCAGGTTCTCTTATTCATTTTAATTTAAAATCTTTTTTTCTCTTCTCTCCTTCCCCCAATTTCTTTGCCCACCTTCTCTCCCCGCTTCTACACAAACACACCGTGTGCTCTGTTCTGAAGCCTCTTTCCTCCAAAGGCAGTCTGAGGGTTGCCTCTAGGAGAAAATGGTAGAATTTCCTTATGTTGTGACGTGTGTGAGTGTGTGTGTGTGTGTGAGAGAGAGAGAGAGAGACAGAGACAGAGGGACAGAGAGAGAGAGAAAGAGCATGCTCGGCATGCTCGTGCTGCTGGGGATGACCTGAGCCTCAGGGCTCTGTGGAGCTGGGTGGGGTTGGGGGCGCCCACACCTCAAGCACTCTCTCTTAGTCTTTCACCAGCAGCCTGGAACCCTACAACCGAAATTTGTTTTGCAGCCTTTCTTTAAGGCTTCATTTGCACCTTGAACTTTAAATGACTGGGTAAAGGTAAAGAGAAGTGAAGTGTAGGTTTAACTAGGCAAACTTCTCAAAAGGGCAGAAAAGATGAAACAAGAACTTCCAAGTTCTTATAGGCTGCTGTTATTTACAAAGATGGGGCAAAAATACTCTTTACCTTTAAAAAAAAAAAGAGGAATAAGAAGAAGCCTGTCTGCCTTCTTTTTCTTTCAGAGTATACCTTTGAAAATACTGATCCTTCTCTGGGTTCTTCCCAATGTTGCAATGTTCAGAAACACTGTTTCTATTTTTTTTTTCCTGTCTCCCCAGAACATGAAGAAACACTATTTCTATTAAACATGGAGGATAAGTTCCCCTCTCCTGTAGCTATTTACTGTTGGGCTCCTTAACCTGGAGGTTTCTTTTTGTAGTCCTGTTGTCTACTACAACCTGTAGTCCAGGTTGTCTTAGACAACCCGGTCTCACATTCTTCTGGAATATTCTACTTGGAGCTACCGCTCTGCTGGAGTCTTTTTATGATATGTTCTCTCAGCAACATCAGCTACTGTTCTTCATGACTAAATTCCAGTATTTTTTTTCCTACTCAGTGCTTATTTCTGAGTGATGAACAGCTTTTGGAAAATAGATAGCTGTCTTTATCCTCCTGAGATTTGAGTAGGCACATTTCAGAAACCTTGTCTTCATAAAGACTGAAAGAGAAACATAAAATCAGAAGACTGAAAGGAACTTCTGGAGACTGTGTAGTCCCCTCCTACACTGGGAGGAGGAGCACGGCCACCCTAGCAGAATCTTGGTGAAACGAGAAGAATGGGGGAGGGGGGAGGAGTGGAAGAACACTAAGCCAGAAACAAATGGCAGGTTTCAGTTCCTGTTCTGCCATTCCTAGCTATGTGAACTTGGGCAGGTCATTTAAGTTTTCTCAACTTTGGTCACTTTCTTCTGCAGAATGGAGAGAATGTGACCTACCAACCCAGCATGGCAGACCTCAGACAATCAGATGTTTTTGTGTAAAATATAAAAAGGTACACCTAACTGTGTGTTCACACACAGCTGAGTGAGAGGTGCACAAGCTAGATTTCAACTTACAACTTGCACCTGGGCACCCTGGCACAGTGCATAACCTGAAATCCTATACAGCAGCCAAGCTCCCAAAGTTTACCCTCCCCTGCCACTAGGAGCAAGCCTGGGGGAGGAGCTAGGAAAAGGGACAGTACTGGGGCCCCAGAGACTTAGCACTTTAAGAAGGTGCCTGCCTTTTTACCTTCTAATTAATCTTGCTTTTATACTTATTCCTCTGTACTTTCATCACATCATTAACAATGTCATATTAATATATTAGTTTAAAGGTATCACCTTGGGGAATGTGCTCATGGAAGCACATTCCTTTTCCCTGCTGGTCTCTGGCCTCCACCCTGTGCCTACTTCACAGGTTGTTGAAGCATTAAATTAAACCATGAATGGGAAAGCACCTGGAACATGATCCCAAACACTGAAGGTCTTAGTTGCTTCTCTTTTCCGTTCCTTCAGGATATTCTGGCATTTTTCTGGGCTTTCTCCTACTGTTTGCTATTCCAGAGGTTTCCAAAGTAGGGTGCTCAACCCCAAGAAATATGACAGATGCTCCATTGAAATGTGAGATAAAAATGAAAATTTTATTTAGATTTGTTTTAAACTTACAAAGGAAATAGCTTTTCTAATATTTGACATATTGATTGATAAGGATATATAGTAATTATAAGTAGACACACATATACTAGGTGGACATACTCAACCTTTTTTCTCTGATATAGGTAAGTAATAAAAATGTTTGAAGACCACAGTCAGTTCTCACATCTCTGTACCCTCTAAATAAAATTTGTTGTTCTTCCCTGAACTCTTTTTATTTAAATAGCAAGTAGTTTCCCCTGATTTATCTTCCAGGACAGAGCTTTATAAATCCAGGACAGAGCTTTATAAATCTTTATAAATCTCTCCTCACCTAACCTTGTGTCTTGTTATCTGCATAGGACATGGGAAACAGCAAACTTTTTCCCTAAGATATGACTTATTTGTGTAAAATAATTTATTACTGAGGATAAAGTCAAATTGGTATCCTTTTCGTTTAATGCTAGACACTCAGTAAAATAAAATAAGAATGTGGGCTCTGGGTCCAGGTGGTCCTGGGATGGATGACATTAGGCAAGTGACTTAACCTGGGTCCATGCCTCAGTCTCCTTTCGTCTGTAAAATGGGAATAAAATAATAAGAATATTAATAAGAATTAAGACAGCAATTAAAAGAATCAGTACCCGTGACATTATGACAATAGGGTCAGTTTCATATTAAGCACAACAGAAGTTTACTGCTGGCATCACTCTAATCACCATCTTCATCTCTAGGAGAGGTGTCTTTCACCTCCAGACCGATACAACCAAACTGGAAGGAGTAGTGGCAGTTCTGGATTCATTCACTCTGTCAACAAATATATACTGGTGGTCTCTCATGTACTAGGCACTTTACAAAGTGTTGGATGGTTCATTGCATTGTCAGCCTTGTTCTTCTATGTGGTGGGTTGCTAGTTCCCTTGTTACCCACTTATGGTCACATTACCTACCATGCATAGCAGTCTACTTTGCAATGGGTTCCATTTCTACTTCTACAGTCAGTGTAAAGGGCTTTGATGTTGCAAAATCATTAAACCATTTGCTGTTGCAGAATCACCAAACACTATGGATTTCCAGCCATTTGACATTTTAAGGTACAAATAGGCTTTCCCTGCATTATTAATTCCACATGTCATTGCTGTATATTCCTTGGTTATTATCCTTCCATTGAACTGTTTGTTTATTGTTCATATAGTTTCACTTACATGGGCCCCCTCTTGGGCATGATTCCTTCAGGTTGATTCAAGATATATTCTGCCTCATTCTACCTCATCTTCAGAGAGGGTACATTTTCTCCTTCCCAAATTGCAATCTTATGAGTCTGCTAGACATTACTGTGGCTTAATATTCTTTTCAACAAATCAAAGCATTGGTAGAAGGATAGTGGTTCTCAGTGTAATATATTGTGTGCAAGCTAGCAAATTTAGAAATAATTATTTTACTTTTAAATACTATATTTTCTCTCTCTTTCTGAGAAATGTTTTTTCTGAAAGCTTAATAAAATTCCCATTACATTAAAGCCATTCATGTTGATTTATACATATATTCTGGGCATGGGTAGGAAGAGACGGGAAAACAATAAAGACAGGATTTTCTTTCAAATTTCTTCCTTCCAATCCTTTTACTTCTCATATATAAACTGCTATAATCTTGGGGGACATGCAACTCAAAGTTTGAGTCTGATAAGGTGATATACTTCCCAGACCAATAACTGATTCTTCCAGGCTCCAGTGAGACAAGAAATGCTATTTTCAAAAAACCCATAAATGTTCTGTAAATATTTACTTTGTTGTGAATTGTTCTATGACCTGACAAAACTGCTGTTTTATGTCATAACTTAGACATGATGAAGAAAGTCAGATATTTCATTTTTCCAGCACAGGGGCTAAGAATAAAATCTTGGTGCTGGAATTGAACATTGTATTTTCCAGGCAAAGGAAATGGACATTTATTGGATGTTATTGCTGCTTTCTTTGCACTAATGACATTATGAAAGCTCTTTGAGTAATATAATTTGAAAATATTATTTCTGTGTTTCAGGTCATGCAAGACAAGATAATCTGCCTCCCGAAAAGAGTGCAGCCTGCTCAGAACCACTCTTCCATTTCGAACGTGTCTCAAGCAGTTGCCAGTACCACCCCACTGCCTCCACCTAAACCGTCTCCTACTAACCCCGTCACTGTGGAAATGAAAGGACTGAAGACAGATTTGGACCTTCAACAGTACAGTTTTATAAACCAGATGTGTTACGAGCGAGCCCTCCACTGGTATGCCAAGTACTTCCCTTACCTTGTTCTCATCCATACCTTGGTCTTCATGCTCTGCAGTAACTTTTGGTTTAAATTCCCTGGTTCCAGCTCCAAAATAGAACACTTCATCTCCATCCTGGGGAAGTGTTTTGACTCTCCTTGGACCACACGGGCTTTATCTGAAGTGTCCGGGGAGGACTCAGAAGAAAAGGACAATAGGAAGAACAACATGAGCAAGTCCAACACCATCCAGTCTGGTCCAGAAGGCAGCCTAGTCAACTCTCAGTCTCTAAAGTCAATTCCTGAGAAGTTTGTGGTTGACAAATCCACTGCGGGGGCTCTGGATAAAAAGGAAGGTGAGCAAGCAAAGGCCTTATTTGAGAAGGTGAAGAAGTTCAGGCTGCATGTAGAAGAAGGTGATATTCTATATGCCATGTATGTTCGACAGACTGTACTTAAGGTTATCAAATTCCTAATCATTATTGCATACAATAGTGCTCTGGTTCCTGAAGTCCAATTTACAGTGGACTGTAATGTTGACATTCAGGACATGACTGGATATAAAAACTTTTCCTGCAATCATACCATGGCACATTTGTTCTCAAAACTCTCATTTTGCTACCTGTGCTTTGTGAGTATCTATGGATTGACGTGCCTTTATACCTTGTACTGGCTGTTCTACCGTTCTCTAAGGGAATATTCTTTTGAGTATGTCCGGCAGGAGACTGGGATTGATGATATTCCAGATGTGAAAAATGACTTTGCTTTTATGCTTCATATGATAGATCAATATGACCCTCTCTATTCCAAGAGATTTGCAGTGTTCCTATCTGAAGTCAGTGAAAATAAATTAAAGCAGCTGAACTTAAATAATGAGTGGACTCCTGATAAACTGAGGCAGAAGCTACAGACAAATGCCCATAATCGACTGGAATTGCCTCTTATCATGCTCTCTGGCCTTCCAGACACTGTTTTTGAAATCACAGAGTTGCAGTCTCTAAAACTTGAAATCATTAAGAACGTAATGATACCAGCCACCATCGCGCAACTAGACAATCTCCAAGAGCTCTCCCTACACCAGTGCTCTGTCAAAATCCACAGTGCAGCTCTCTCTTTCCTGAAGGAAAACCTCAAAGTCTTGAGCGTCAAGTTTGATGACATGAGGGAGCTGCCCCCCTGGATGTACGGACTGCGGAATCTGGAAGAGCTCTACTTGGTTGGCTCTCTGAGTCATGACATTTCCAAAAACATCACCCTTGAGTCTCTGCGGGATCTCAAAAGCCTTAAAATTCTTTCTATCAAAAGCAACGTTTCCAAAATCCCTCAGGCAGTGGTTGATGTTTCCAGCCATCTCCAGAAGATGTGCATACATAATGATGGCACCAAGCTGGTTATGCTCAACAACTTAAAGAAAATGACCAATCTGACAGAGCTGGAACTGGTCCACTGTGACCTGGAGCGCATTCCTCACGCTGTTTTTAGCCTGCTCAGCCTCCAGGAATTGGACCTGAAGGAAAACAATCTGAAATCTATAGAAGAAATTGTTAGCTTTCAGCACTTGAGGAAGTTGACAGTGCTAAAACTGTGGCATAACAGCATCACCTACATCCCAGAGCATATAAAGAAACTCACCAGCCTGGAACGTCTGTCCTTTAGTCATAATAAAATAGAGGTGCTGCCTTCCCACCTCTTCCTATGCAACAAGATCCGCTACTTGGACTTATCCTACAATGACATTCGATTTATCCCACCTGAAATCGGAGTTCTACAAAGTTTACAGTATTTTTCCATCACTTGTAACAAAGTGGAAAGCCTTCCTGATGAACTCTACTTCTGCAAGAAACTTAAAACTCTGAAGATTGGGAAAAACAGCCTATCTGTACTTTCACCGAAAATTGGAAATTTACTATCTCTTTCCTACTTGGATGTAAAAGGCAATCACTTTGAAATCCTCCCTCCTGAACTGGGCGACTGTCGGGCTCTGAAGAGAGCTGGTTTAGTTGTGGAAGACGCCCTGTTTGAAACTCTGCCTTCTGACGTCCGGGAGCAAATGAAAACAGAATAACTTATTTTTCGTTAAAGTTTGACTGAAACACGCTTCTACCAAATACAGTATGAATAATTAGGTAGTCTTAATGCCTTTCCTATTTTATTTTTATTTTTTTTCTTTTTCACACAAAACAAAATGTACACAAAGATTGAGTAAGGAGTATGTATATTTTAATAAAAATTTAATTGTATTTTTTCAATATTAATATTTTAAAGTTTTATTTGTCTTGGAACCTAATGTATCTATTATTGTTTTCTACTGATAGAAACAGACGGTTCCATCTGTTTTTAGTTTTTGTTTGTTTTTCAGTTCATTCTTGTGAAAGGGAGGGAATTATAAGTTGCATGCTTTTGGCATTTTTTTTAAATAGAGGGAGATATTTTGCCAGGGTCATTTTTAGCTTGTTTACACCTGTGTAGGGTCCTCATTTTTGTGTTTTCATTGTGTGTATACCAAGGAATCTGTGCTAGTTGTTTTAATACCAGCTGCCTTCTTTACTGGCCAAGTCCTTCATTCTATAAAAAACACTTCTCTGGAGTATAACTTCACATAAGTGCATTGTCACAGAGTATTATTTCTGAATTTTCCCCGTGCCTCCAACAGAACCGTAAATTGTGTCATATCATATACCTGACATCTATAGTTATCCTTTAGGCAAGGCTTTTGTAATTGGGTGAAGAAAGTAATCTTTAGTGGTTGGCATGCTAGAATTGGTCATTTATAATTTAACTGATTAGCATTTTTACCAATATTTTTTAAATATTTCAAAACTAAACACAGAGGCCCTCCCCTCCCCTTAATCTCAATACTGCTATGTGGTACTGGTGCATGACCTTAGAGAACTTAGATTTATTTTAATATTCCAGCAGGTAATTAAATTTAAAAATCATAGAATTAGAAGCCTGTTTTTGAGTAATTTAATCATATTTGATATCTTGATATGTGGATGCATCAGATGGAAAAAATTTCACTACTAAAGTGCCCTGTCAAAGAGCTGGTGTGCTCCAGTGGGGCCCTCTCCCTTGCTCAGGGCACTAGGGCAGTGTTAATCTATTCAAATTCTGCCTGCTGCACAAAATAATACACTTACGTATACAGTCAGCCCTCATATCCATGGGTTCCCCATATGGGGAGTCCACTAACTATGGATCAAAAATATTCTAAGAGAAAATTTACGTCTGTACTGAACGTGTGCAGACTTTCTTATCTTTTTATTATTCCCTAAATACTGCAATGTAACAATTATTTGCATAGCATTTACATTGCACTAGGTATTATAAGCAATCTAGAGATGATTTAAAGTATACGAGAGGATATGCGTAGGTTATATGCAAATACTACACCATTTTGTTATCAGTGGCTTGAGCATCCTCAGATTTTGGTGTCTGAGAAGGTCCTGGAACCAATTCCCCAGGGATACTGAGGAACAACTGTATATTAATTGGTTTCCGTCAAGCCTGCCCTTGCTGTGAATGCTAGTGGTTCAAGCACAGGTACTCTATCTGCTATCTGGCTTAACACACATATCTCATCTAAAATGGCTCTGTTAAGTTTTTTTTTTAAGTGTGAATAAATTGCTAAGTCATGTTACATAGCAATAATTTTTGCCTGATTGTTAGCAGAGCTTTTACTTACCTGTGTACTTAAAATCCAACATAGTATGGGCTCTTGGGCAAAATATTTCACTGACTATTAGAACAGGAAAAATGAAATACACTACTTGTGCCCTCTATCCAGGACCAGCGCTACTGATTATAGGAAGGTTGTTTTATGTACCAAATTCACAGGGACCATTTTCTGAGCCCTAGACTGATCTAAGAAAGTTCTGTGTGACTTAACAATGAAAGAAAGTAGGAAGACAATTTGGGATTTCAAAGTGCTGTTTTTAAGAATTGTTCCCTGAACCTGGTAAATTTGCCCAGTGCTACTTTGAGTCATATACAGAAATCAACTATGGGAACTGTGTGCCTCAATTTTGTTTTAAGTTTTAAGATACATAATGGAGTGAAGGATTATGGAAAGAGCTGCTTTTCATTTGTTTCTTAATATAATCTAATCATATAAACCAAAGTACTTCACAGTTTCTGCACTATGTTAAAGTTTTAGAATGATGATTTTGTATAGCTGATTTATTTAGACCTGCAACTGAAATAATGTTTGAAAGAGTGTCATGGTTATAGTTCTTATATGATAAAATATTTAATTCCAGAATATTGCTGGGATCCTGAGTATGAACAATGGGTTGTATTTAGAAACGTAGCCCTGTTTTAAACAATTTGTTGGCAGATCACCATGTTTGAGCATGGCAGAAATATTTAATACCCTGTTGAAAGGTGAGCTTAGATAACTGCTGGAAACACACTGGGTGCACTATTTTTCTGGATAAAATTTATAGTTATTTTCTATTTCACCCTTCAAATGGGATCTATTCAGGTTAAAAATTATATTTATGCTGAAGTCTTTATCTGGTGTTAACTAATAATCTCATATGGGCTCATAACTGAAATAAATCACTAATAATTCATTTTTATCACTTATAACAATTTGCTCAAAATTACAAAAGAATTTGATTTGTTTTTTAATGATTTTGCAGGCTGACCCCAACCTCAGTTTTGATAACATCCAGTAAATCAGTATAGTTTTATGACTTTATGTTTTAACTAAGAAGGAAAATCATAGATGTTCTTATTAGGTTTTATAAAAATTTGAAAGTCTCAAACTTAACTTTGAGTCTGCATTTTCTGACTCTGGCCCTTTTTAATATTGTAAGTTTTTGTTCACTTTGGTAAGTAAAAAGCATTCAATTACTATTTAGCCTTTAAATGGGAAACTCAGGTAAATGAACTTCTGACTTTTCTAAAGTTCTTTAACTGATCAACTCAGAGTAGAGGGGTAATTACCTAATCACTTTCTGTATTTTATAAGCACTCTTGCTAAAAAGGAACAACTAGCTCTATTTCTCTAATCTCTGTAGGATGCATGAGAAACTGCTTATGTAAATATAAAAGCACTGTATGTAATCTTAACTCCTGTGGCTGCTTGGAGCTCATGATGGGTGAGCTTTTGGTCAGCTTTAAAGGTTAAGCACAGAGCAAACAATTGTTTGCTAATGATCTAGTCGAGAGAGAGCATGTAAGTATATTCCAATGGAACTCACCTAAGAAGACCACACTTCAGAAAGCGATTGCATTTTCTTGTTATGTGCTGGGTTTTGTTTTACTTTGTTTTGACATAGCACCTGTAATGCAAAGATTCTTGATATTAAAACAATGAAATCTGTTATTTACAATCATAAATTTTTCTTATTGTTCACCCACCTCTTTCCCTGACATTGTATTTCCCAGCTATTTTAATGGATTCTAGCAATTTACATGGCATCTTATGTGGCAGGCACTTTTTCAGAAAGGCTTAGAAAATATACCTGGTAGGAGTTTTTTTCATTTAAAGGTGCCTGTTTACCTGGCTCTCAGGTCATCTTTGTGGAAAGGGGCTTAAACAGCCTGGAATATTCTTTGAGTGGCTTGAAGTAAGGGAAGTTCCAAGTTCTTTCAATATGCTATTTCATGATTTCTGATATTAAGAAAGAGAAAACAAAACCTTTATATTTGTTGTTAACATTTCCACCAAGAGGGTTTCTGTTGCTTATTTTTGACTATAAGAAAAATCCATTGTTTAAGTAGAGAATATTTTACTCTCTAATCTAATTTCATGTAAAATACCTGATCAATAGTAATAATATGTTTATTTAAACAGTGAACATTCATGATCCATCATTATGAAAACTGTTAGTGTACTTAGTAGTGAACAAATAAGATAAATTCAATATAATTCCAGTTGTTTGTGGAGATTAAATTAAGATGCAGTTAACATCCTCATCCTCCTATGAATCCTGAACATGATAATGCTTTTCAAACAATTCACATTTTTGGTAGGATCTTAATAACTCAGGATAGGGTTCCATACCTCAAATTAGCAAAACAGTATAGTTATTAGTGAGGAGACTGCCTAAAGGATCTAGAAGATTTTCTCATCTTTTCTTGTCTATTTAGAAACATTGTAAGGAAACTTGGATAGTCCTCACCAGACCTGCCATGATTTTTCAGATTTGGGCCTCAGTGACATGCTTCTGTTACGGTTCCTTGCCACCCTTCCTAACTAGGTATCCAATCTTATTCCATCTTCCCAGAGTTATTTGCTGGTAAAGGTAGCATCCTTAAGTTCATTTGGAGGAGATAGAGGAGTGTTTTCCCCTGCCTCAAAGAATATTTTTTAATCAGAAGACCCTGAAAGGAGTATAAAACTTTGGACAACTTAATTTCTTGGCCATGTTAATTAACAGTTCCTAGGCATTGTTTTTAATATCGTGTGCCATTTGCATCTTTCTTCTGAATGCCTTTCTCTCTCCTACCTTCTTCTGCCTCTTTAATGGAATATTTTTATTGGAGTTGGAACTCCATGCCTTATGTGCTCCCTCAGTTTTCTTTTTGCCACTTGTTTACTCTCACTGTTTGTATGTGTTCAGATTGTGTCAAATGCTGGCAAACCTCTAAGATTGTTAAGAAAATGCTTAAAAGTTGATTTGTCATAGTGCAAATTCATAATAAAATGTCTTAATGTTATTTGGCCATGTAGTACATAGGAACAGAAAAATAAAGTCATTTTTGTAACTTAAAATTGATATTTGTGCCTTTCTTACTCATTTTTAAAAATCTTATTTATCTTTTGCATTTCTTAAACTATCACTAAGTCCCGCTAGGCTCTGCAGGAAATAGCCTACATGCATTCTTTCACTTTGTGTTGAGTTAATTTCTGTAATTGTGACTAATTATTTCCTTCCTTAATTCAATGTACTGTATCTACCTAAGGTGCCCCTGGAGTTTCATTTGGGTAATTAGTGCTTTAATATGTAATCTGGAGTGCAATGTCTGTGCATTTGCCAGATCAGTTTGTAAAATGGCTGTCCAGCTCAGCTTTCAGTAAATACTCTTATGGTAATGACTGTGGTTACTTAAAGGAATCAGAATGGTCCTGCATGGGTAGGCAGGCTCCCCTAATTAACCACATTCACTCTAGGTTTTGGGAAGCCTCTACAAGAAAACTTCATGTACCACTTAAGCATAAGAAAATTGCAATTCATAATTTTCAAAGCTAAATTGTCATTTTACATATTTTTCTGATAGTGGTTATTTTACTGATAGTCAATTCTCTAGAGAAGGATGATTGAGATGAGGAAGGATTGTGAGTGTGATGGGAGAGGTCATGTGAATGTATGTGTGTGAGAAATGTAGACAAGATTATGTTAGAGCTCTGGAGAAATTTTGGAGACAAGCTCTGGGGAATGCAATAGATTAGAGCATCTGGTGATATCATATGAGGAAAAGACTGCCCACTGCCACCTTCCATTGTCTCATCTTCCAGTCCTTTCATTCATACAGAATATTGAGATAAACTCTGAAATTAACTAAATTGATTCTGTTATTTGTTATTGTTGGTTAGTAAGATAAGCATTTTGTTTGATGCACAAGATGGAAATCATTAAAGTTAGTTTGCAACTTAGTACAATGATAGCACAAGACCTGCATGTTTTCTTTAATTTAAATTTGAATGTCATCCTAAATATCCAATTAGGAAAAAAATGAAAAGTTGTTCATTAGCCACATTATTTTGTGTGGAGCTGTGTGTAAATCCTTGAATACAGGTTATACTTTAGATTTCTTATTTAAACACCTTTGAACACAGCAAGTTGCAAATAAACATATGATCAGGAATGTTATAAGTGACAGATAATTTTCAAAGTATGAATATTTTATATGTAAGATGGGTAACAATATTATCAAACATCTAAACCAATTTGGCCATTCAGATTATTTTGATTCAGGGATTTTTCTGTTATAATGTTTACAAACAAGTAGAGGGTGGACCTTTTTTTTGAGACTTTGCCCATGCTAGTGTGCCATGGCGTCAGCCTAGCCCACAGCAACCTCAGACTCCTGGGCTCTAATCATACTCCTGCCTCAGCCTCCAAAGTAGCTAGGACTACAGATGCACAACACCACACCCAGCTAATTTTTTCTGTTTTCAGTAGAGATGGGGCCTCACTGTTGCTCAGGCTGGTCTTGAACTTCTGACCTCAAGTGATCCTCCTGCCTCAGCCTCCCAGAGTGCTAGGATTACAGGTCTGAGCCACTGTGCCCAGCCAGAGGATGGCCCTTCTCTTGTTTATTTTTTTAATCCTTTAAGGAATTAATTTTATTTCAACTCAAGTTACATCTAGACATATACCATTTTTAAAAAGTATTTGGTCCAATTCTTATTACAAGTCTCAGATAATATAGATATTGGAGAAAATGACACAAAAGAAGCAACCTGTAGGTTTTACATGTTTTATCTCCTCCATAGTTCTGTTAATAAAAAAAAAATCAATTTTCCAGAAGTGATTCTGAAATGGCAAAAAAATAATTATAACATTTCTTCACTTTGGGAATTGGAAAGGTTCTTGAGATTCCACTGTAATTTCACAGACTATGTGTGATAATTTTGTTAAAATCATACTCTAAGTAACATTTGGACAGCTTTGAACATCTTTCTTAGATTGATTTAATCCAAGAATATTTAAAACCAAAGCAAAGACATGAAGATGAACTCACTGTGTATTTGAGGAATAAATGTTTATGAAACAGTTGATGAGTCTCATTTGTGCCTGTTGAGTTGTATGTATAAATTATATTTCTTAGTGATTTAAGTTTCTTTATGAAAAGTACTCAATGGAGTAGCCAAGTTCAACAAAAATCTGAAAGGCCATGTACAACAATGATCTCTAAATGGAAACCAGATTTTATTTCTTGGGGGCAGGGCTTTTCTGTAAGCCTTTCTAACATATCAATTTGTTAAAAATTAGAAGACTATTTTTCCTTAACTCTCCCCCTGTTCTAGCCTCTGGTGCTGTGACTCATAAACTTTCCTGGTAGTTACACTCTGAGCCTTAACAATATCAGCATGCTAACAGATTTAGTAGTTTTATGCTTCCAGAAACAAAGACAGGATGTTGACAGCCTTTATTTTAGTGCGGAAGTATTTTAAATGAATTCATACTTGTGAAATTAAAAACTAGAGATTCAGTTTCAGTCAAAAAAGTTCAATCTAAACATTTAGCTACATAGATATTTTAAGTCCAGGTAATCTCTCAGAGAAACTGCATTCATGTCAAATGAGAAAGACAAAAATGCCAATGGGATTAAATACCTGATTTATGTTTTAAAAGGCTATTATTTATTGGGAGTAGTAGTAGGAGCATGAAGCTTAATAGGCAGCCTCTTGCTAAAGGATGCTTAATGTACTTTCTAAAATTCAGGATGGTGGAAAGTAATTTGGGGATATTTCAAAGAACTAAAGATAGAAATACTGTTTTATCCAACAATCCCACTACTAGGCATCTACTGAAAAGAAAAAAAGATATGCTTTAATAAAGACACCTGCACTCAAATGTTTATGGCAGCACTATTCACAATTGCAAAGATGTGGAAACAACCCAAGTGCCCATCAATACATGAGTGGATTAATAAAATGTGATATATGTATGCCATGGAGTTCTACTCAGCCACAAAAAGCAATGGTGAACTATCAACTCTTACATTATCCTACATAAAGCTGGAGCCTGTCTTTCAAAGTGAAGTGTCACAGGAATGGAAAAACAAGCACCGTGTGTACTTGCCATCAAATTGGTGCTAACTGATCAACACTTACGTGCTCATATGGAAGTAATATTGATCGGGTGCCGAGCCTGTGGGAGGGGGTGGTGAGGGCGTGCAAACTCGCAACCATTGAGTGCGGAGCGCGTTGTGTGTGGCATGGGAACACTTTTAGCTCTGGCTTGGGCGAGGCAAAGGCATTATATGTAACCAGAATGTTTGTAGCCCCATAATATTCTGAAATTTAAAAAATATAGGCCGGGCGCGGTGGCTCACGCCTGTAATCCTAGCTCTCTGGGAGGCCGAGGCGGGCGGATTGCTCAAGGTCAGGAGTTCAAAACCAGCCTGAGCGAGACCCCGTCTCTACCATAAAAATAGAAAGAAATTAATTGGCCAACTAATATATATAATATAAAAATCAGCCGGGCATGGTGGCTCGTGCCTGTAGTCCCAGCTACTCGGGAGGCTGAGGCAGGAGGATCGCTTGAGCCCAGGAGTTTGAGGTTGCTGTGAGCTAGGCTGACGCCACGGCACTCACTCTAGCCTAGGCAAGAAAGCGAGACTCTGTCTCAAAAAAAATATATGTGCAAAGCTAAGAGGAAAGAAAAAGAAAACTAAAAGAAAAAAATTAAAACAATAAAAGAGTCAAAAAAAAATAAAATTCAGTGTGATTTGTTGCCCTTCAAATTCTACCAACATTCAAATCATCAAATTTCAAGTACGGAAAACCAGCTAGGTAAATTATTTTCCAGTAACTTTCCCTAACTTGGAAACTGCTAGTGACTATTAAGTGATTTAATTATAAATCTGATCAACAAATTATATCAGGCCGGGCGCGGTGGCTCATGCCTGTAATCCTAGCTCTCTGGGAGGCTGAGGTGGGAGGATTGCTCAAGTTCAGGAGTTTGAGACCAGCCTGAGCAAGAGCAAGACCGCATCTCTACTAAAAATAGAAATTAATCGGACAACTAAAAATATATAGCAAAAATTAGCTGAGCATGGTGGCGCATGCCTGTAGTCCCAGCTACTTGGGAGGCTGAGGCAGAAAAATTGCTTGAGCCCAGGGGTTTGAGGTTCTGTGAACTAGGTTGACACCATGGCACTCTATCTAGCCCAGGCAACAGAGAGAGACTCTGTCTCAAAAAATAATAATAATTATATCAAAAATACCAGAAAGTTGACTCCAAAATCTTATGGTAAATACTGATAATGACATTCTTAACAGCACTGCACTACATACTATACTATGGTAAACAAATGTAAGGTACAAGTTGCATTCTAGGTTATTTTAAAACATTTAAAATCATCAACCACACCTGTGTTGACAAAAAAACAAAAACAAAAACAAAAAAAAATAAAATCATATATTTTTTTCCTTATATGTACAGGAAGGAAAAAAATGTTATACAAAAATTTATCCAGAGATCTATAAATGTTTTAAATAGGCTCAACAATAAAAAAGTTGTGCTTACTGTATTTGTTTGGATCAGACAGGGGCACATAGAGTGTTAGCTATTTATAGAAATGCCTCTTCTACCTTCAGTTCTGTCCATCCAAATTCAATTTAGGGCCCTGCTTGTATTAAAATTCCTAAGACTTTTAAAAAGGGTTTTAAGACTTATCCAGAATTTTTCTCTAACACTTCTAAGTGCCTCTTTAATTAGAGCACTTACCACTTACATTATGGTTATTTTAGGACCTATTGTATCTCTCCTTTTTGGAGGTCCAATGAATGCAGAAAACCAACATTTATTTAGCTTTGTGTTTCCCTTCAGTGCCTACCATTACGACTTGTACCAAACAAGCTCTGGAAAATATATTGCTAAATCAACCAAGAGGCCTAACTCTATTAATTGAGAGCCTTGGAACGTGAAAGGCCATCACCCTGTTCAAATCTGCTCTGCGGTATACGAGTTTCTTAGGGCTGCCATGACAAAGTACTGCAAACTGAGAGGCTTAAACAGAATTTTGTTTTCTCAGTTCTAAG